TGTAATCAGTAATCGTCTACTGTAGACCAACTCGCATCTTGTACTATTCAAATTGTATCTAAGCTTTCAAGAAGGTTCTATTCAATGAGTCACGCCCATCACTCTTCATTCTGGCCAAACAACAATACCAACGTAGAAACATAACCTACAATAATATCTTCCATAGACCTTTCATGATAACAGAAAAACACGTAGGCTCATGAAGTCTTAATATAAGGGGTAAACTGAAGAACAAAGGTCCACCTTTAGAAAGCGCTCGGGTTATAGGGGTTTTATCGTTTTCCAAGGACCTTTAGTGAGCATGGCTATATGCTGGTTAAGTGCATTTCCCATACAAGGTATTCTGAACTAGGTCGTGCTCTTGTGAATATCATACTAAAGCACACTTCCTATACTATATGACATGCACTTAACCAGTACACAGCTATGCATCCCATTTGGCAATTACCTACCTAGAACCACAGCCAACTAGCAGGACCATCACTCACATATAAGTCAGTGTTCCACTATTATCTAGATGTTATGTAAACAGAGCCTGATTCTAATGAGGAGAAAATTAAGAAGGTGAAAAAAGAAAGTATAGGTCTTACACAAATAGATATTCAAGTCAGCATCACGCAAGCGCTGTCCTCTAGCTTCTAACCAGTAGATTCTATTTGTATACAAGATTCCGTTTTCACGCAAACGCAAAAATAAAGTGCATTACTTCCTACATCAAGCCACACAATTACAGTCACACTTACGTGTGTTAAAAGTGCAACTTGCACCTAAGTATGAACGTTAAGAAATATTTGACAAATTAGTACATTTATAAAAAGTTTAAATCTGAACCTCCGGATATATTACATCAATAACAATATAGAACGATCTTTTGTTTTGATATAACACAAACTACATGCAGCAGGTTTCACTTTCTATACGTAATTCACCAATTCGGAAATGTTTTGATTTGACACCATTGAAAATTATTTCTCACTACCTTTGTCGAAAACGATGGAGTGTGAGCTCTCTGGTTACTTTTATATATCCAGCAAAAATATGTATGCTTTATCTGTTTATAGCATGACCTTTGAAATCCAAGGTCAGGGTGATGCCTAAAGAACAAGCTAAAACCCAAAAAGTCAAAATTTTACTGTCTGTTACATTTATAACTCCTATAAAAAATACTTAGGTTCAATATATCAAGTATGAATGAGCCTCATGTAAAAGTGCAGACAACTGGTGTATGCTACAAAGGTCTGAATTCCAGAAGTATAGTCACAATAATGATTATTTATGGATGACACGTAAGAGTTGTCATTGTAACAGCCTTATAAAACAAACAGAGGTAGTACATTTTTTGCTTATACAGCCCTACAGAAAATACTGTTTGAAAAAGTGGAACAAAAATTTTAACACTTAAGATATCCTAAATACGCGTAGAGATTTACTAACCTCTTGGTAACTTTCTTGGGAATATTCGATCAATACACTCCAGATCACTGTAATTGTAATGAATTTAACTCAAATGAAGTAGTAGAATCTTAAGACATCTAAGTCTTTGTCTCCTTGGCAAGATACTACAAGCTCTCATTATTAGCATAATCATCATTTGTAATTGTAATGGCTCGAGTGAAGCTGTTATCACAGCTATGATGTTAGAAAAACACGTAGATTCAAGAAGTCTTGATAGAAATGAATAAAACTTTATAACCTGAGCACTTTCGAAAGGTAGACCTTTCTTCTTCAGGGGCAAACTGGGAAAACAGCTTTAATTACTGGCTTTACATGGACAAAGCTTACAGCAGGCTATGTCAGCCTTTGTACATCCACAAGTCTTGCTGCATAACTTCCATTACAAGCACACATGAGGCCTTTTAATAATCTTTACTGAGGTAACATCCTCAACTAAGGCTAGTAACATTCCTTGTCCATCCATGGCTTTAAGGGGAACCAAGATCAGGGTGCACAGTGTGAGAAAACAGTCAAAGAATAGTTTGTAAAGTGGCTGTTCTAACATGCTGAAGAAAGTTAACTGAAATGGTGGAACGTTTGCCCATGCGATATCACATGTGGAAAACATTTTTACTTGAAGATCGTTCATGCCATACATATTGCTTTCCTTTTGAATCAGAATATGATGGCACTAACCTCTTGGCAGAATCTACATTGCTTTTCTCGTCTTTCTGTCCAAACAAAGTAAAATATTTGAAGTGTCCTTTTCTGCTACAACCTTCATGACAATTTTCTTTCCTCTCTTCAAACAGGTAGATGTCATACTTGGGTTTAATACAAGGGCTCTTAACTGGTATCCTGAACCTTAGCCCAGCCTTATGGAGCCTGTTCCTGACCATTGAGCACAATACACACACACACACACTAGTGGCTTGCTGAAGCTCATTTCCCAGGCCCTTATCATTTAATTTTTGCAAGTACTGTAGTTTAAGTAGAGTTGGCTTAGGCCTGGCATGGCCTACTTGTTAGGGTGTTCGACTCAGAATCTGTAGGATGTGAGTTCACATCCCATCACCAAACATGCTCAACCTTTCAGTCATGGAAGTGTTGTACTGTAAAAGTCAATCCCACTATTTAATAACAATAGTCCAATAGTTGGCACTGACTAGCTACCTACTCTCTAGTCTTTCACTGATCAAGATCTACTGTGCCTCAATGGTTGTAAGCAGCTTTAGGACTTAAAAAAAAAGTTCTTGCAAACATTTGTAGGAAGAAACCCACAGAAAGCCATGAATCATAAACTTAGCTTGTCACAGGTTCCATACTTTATTGTGTACATAATACATTTTGATGTACAACAGTTTAAGATTAATCAATTAACTTAATCTTAAATTGTTACACCTAAAGATGTCTAACATATTAACTTACTGACTGCTGATTCACCATATAGGGCACAGTCCATCTCTGGCAGTTGAATGCCAGTATGCTGTATACAATATATACAGCTAGTGAAAATTCTGCACACATTTAAAGCAACTGCAATCAAAGAGCTAAATCAATGGTAGTTTGAAAAGGTCTTTGAAAAAAGAAAAACAAACTGAAAATAGGCAGATTAGTTGAATATAAGCTATTAATGAATCTGACAATCAAACAATTGGCAAACTCCACTTATCACCCAGTTCTAAGTGCCCGGCACCCAAACATTGGAAATCTAAATCTTTTGATATTAATGACAACTCGTATGTTATAATTTTTTATGTAGTGTTTCATTATATTACTTACATAAGAAAAAGCACACCTTTGTTACAGGAACAATTTGCTAAATATTACTAAATGAGTCACTTATTTAATAGGCTCCAAGGATTATGCTGCAAATATATTATCTTCAAAAGTATAAAAGTGAGATAATCAGGTATTATGATTACCTTGTTCTAGTTGCTTTGTTTCTTTATTCTCTATAATAGGTAGTGTCTATTCTGACCAAGAATATATTGTAGTAATATGCAGCATCCTAGTTAAAAGGTTTAGCTCTGTCATATCCCTTGCTGAATGTGATGTTGGCTGTGAAAGAACAAAGGTCACAAGGTGAACTGTCAACTGGACAAAGAAAGCATTGCTATCTGTTTAATCTAGACACACTTTCTTTGGCCAGTCTATACTAGATCAACAAGTGAATATTACTTTTAATAAGAATGGAAATTAATACTGATAGACAAAAAAGCAATGGAGCTAAACACAGCCTAGTAGAAAGGACTGTCATTTTGTCTGCATAGGTTCACATGCTGTGTTTCCATTTATTTCTTGTAATAAAGATTTCTTTCATTTATTCACATCTGTCCAGTCTTGTTATTTTGCACTTAAAGAAACTCAGTCAAAAATAAATTTGAATTTTCAAAATAAGATTTTAGCACATGTAATTTTTAATTTTTTATAATAAAACTGTTGTATGGTGTCACTATTACCTAAGTCATATGTATAGAACTGTTGAATATAAAAAAATTGAACCTTTTTCGTATTTTCAAGTAAAACTCTCCCAAAAAGTATCAGATAGGTAAACCTGCAAATAACTACAGATTTTATCCTGTATCTGTGAAGATTTCACAACAACCTGTAGCATCAATGAGGTATGATGAAAATAGCTGTAAAATATTGTACATGTATTTCTGAAACTCACTTATTTTTTATTTTCTTTTTAATTTTCACTTTACCAGAGGAAACAGCATATTTCAGTTTAGTAGGGAAAAAAATCTTCTTCTTAGCTGTATTCATCAGGTTTTCTAAGCATTGTTCTTGGCCCTTTTCACGATGCAGTACATTTTCAATTTCACCATGAGAAATCACTCTTATCGACAGATTATCCACTTCTGGTGGAACTTCACAGGTAAAAAACCATTTATTATCAGTCAGAAAAGTCAAAGCACTATCTTCATTACTACTTAAGGGTAGAAATGCTGGAGTAACTATATCTGACTGCGCAGAACTTGTATTAAAAACATGCTTTGTTTTTTCAGGATCTTCTGAAGCCGTTTTCGCTAATAAACTACAATCAGTTTCCATCTTCTCTACTGGGATAATTTCTTCGTACAATTGATTGAAAGGTAAAACCACTGGTGGTGCTTTCTGCTTTATAAGCTCATACACATCTCTGAAAATTGACTCTTCTTTCTGTACACAGGTCTACAAAAAAATAAATAATATAATGAATAAAATTACTTAGACATTATTGACAATGCTCATAAAATCTCAAACTTTATATAACTGTAATTATACCTTTGTATATACAAGGTTTGAGTATGTGAGAAAGAATATGCACAACATTAACTACATTACTACTTACAAGTAAAACTGATTAAGAATATCGTTCTCTCACTGGCTTAGCACTGTCACTGTGTGAGGTAGTGAATTTTGTTTTTATTTGGTTATGGTTTTGTTTTTCATTTATTATTCCTTCTATCATTTAGTTTATCTATTAAACTTTAGTTACATTTAAAATGCTAGCTCACCTTCTAGATGACCATGATTATTTTGAGTAAATATACATGTATTTTGTGACTGACATGCTTCCTCCTAGCGGTGACGTATAAATATCATTAATGTTGCACTAGAGTATGTAAATTATGTACAGATATTTTGCACAGGATTATGTAAATTACGATCACGACTTGTAATCTCATGATCTAACAAGTTAATAAAAACCCTACATTGAGCTTTAACAAGTTAGTTCATGAGATATACCTGAACAGTATTATTGCTGATTATTACTTGATGGTGTTAGTGATTTTGTAGTTTAAATATGGAATATTAGTGTTATGGAATTAGGTTTTCACTTTTTTTATTTGTCTGGTTCTTTTCCTGATTCCTTCACTTATTTATTGATTGAACTATCTATCAACCTGAATTTATATATTGTATTGTTCATTAACGTTAGTTTTAAGTCCTGACCAGGCACATATTTCTTTACTGTTGTTTGGTAAGTTATCAACGTTGTAGTTACACTTTATATTTCTATGGTTGTTAAAGTATAATAAATTATTTTTTTTCGGTTCAACCCTGGTTGTAGCGGCAAGTTACTTCAGACCTTCACAAGCATACATTAGGTAATTATCAGAAAAATATGTATCCTTCAGAAAATTACCACATTTATAAAGATCATGTAAAAAAATGGGTTCTCAGGAATAAATTTTTAAAAATTAACAGTCTGTTTTTTTCTCTGGGCTATTAGGTAAATGTTTGCCACCCACAAGCTATAAAAACACCTCATGCACCTAAGGACCAATCATTTACATGGGTTAAACATTCTTTCTACATAAGTAGTTTTTACAAATTGGAAACATTCAAAATAAAATGACAGAATTATCACAAGCCAATATTGTTCACACTTAACTTTGTAACAAACTGGAAACAAAATTCAAACTAATTTCATAGGATTATTATGAGTTAATGTTTAAACTTATTATCAAATTTCTTCAATATAACAGTCATAAAGAAACAAGATTACGTAAATATTTAATAATATTCAACACTATTTACTCTCATAAAACATATAACAAGAATTTAAGAGACAAAGCCTCAGAAGGTCCAGGTGCTGAAATAAAATTAACCCTATGTGTATGAGTATAAGTTAAAGTGTGCATGTCACAACATTTTACACAACTTATTATCATTTTATATCAGTAAACATGGCTTCAAAATTTAGTTGATGAAAACATTTTATTTCTTAATTTCAAAAGGAAATAACTAAATAAATTCTCAATTTTCATTTCTAGGTATGAACATCCCATCTCAACAGTGGGTGTATAGCACACACAGGTCTTACAGTGCAGATTTAAGAATAAGTATGCCTGGTCAAACAACACTTGCCACTGAGCAGGATCCAAATATGCAACAAACAATTGAAGAAAAAAAGGAGCACTTACTCAGTCAAAGAAATCGTGGAGTGCAAAATGGCAATGGGAGGAAGACAAAACTCTTGAGAACAAGCAACAGTTATATGGTGAAGATAATGAGTAGTGGTCCACATATTGGTGCTAGTGATGTCCTCCAAAGGATGATGGAAATGAGCAGCCAGGGACATAGTAGCTTGAAGAATTTGATGGGAAAAACAACAGAAAACACTATAATCATCAGGAGAAATGGAAAAATAAGCCAGCAAATCAACTGGCAAATCCAACCCATAAGGGTAATTAGGGAAAGGTCATGGGACTGGGAAGGAATTTGAGGAACAAACGATGGGATGGGGAACCACAGAAGGAATCAGTGCATGCCCATAACAGTGGAGAGCCCTGAATGGGCAGAGTAAATAATCAGGATCGGAAGGGTCATAAAGGTGTGATAAGAAAGGCCCTGGGAATGAAAAGGATGGGGAAGCACCTGGACCATTTGCGAAAAAATGTAAGGAGGCAAGGAGAGTTCAAACGGAAGAGCCCGGACTGAAACACACACACCCCGATAGACAAAACGAAGATAATGTTGGGATACAGGGGAGATGGGAATGTGTAGGTTTTCTCCTAATCTCAGTCAAATACTTGTTTAAAGTACTTTGGTTTGTTGGTTTATTTCAGATAAAAATCCAATTGAACCATCTGTTGTGTCCACTGCACGAAATCGAACCCCAGATTTTAGCACTGTAATCTGTAAAATTACCACAGTCCCACTAGGTGGCTTTAAAAAGGAAATAGGGCCAGTGCTGTTGAACTCTAGATGTTGATACATTTCCTCTGAACAGAATGCCAGTCCATTGCAGCCTAATCCTGAAATAAAAGCTGGTACCCAATATAAGATGGGTAGACTGGAATAAGTGGTGTAAAGTGTCTTACTCAAAGACACAACAGTATAATGGGCCAGTCTTTAACTTGCACCCATTTGACTACAAGTCAAAAGCTGAAATCCACATTGCTCATTGTAGGCAGGGAAAAGGAAACCAAAAGATGGGGTCTAATCCCCACAAAGGGTCAATAGACTCTAAATATAAGTAGGAAAAATCAGAACTATGACATGCCAGAACATTATCATCCAGGGTAAGTGGGGGTCGAGGCATACTGACACCCAAACTCAACTGGTCTTCAAAATGACTTGCATGAACCCTAATATACCATAGGGTTAGAAAAGACTAAATACTGAACCAAAAGCTCATCACTAAGAAGGGGAGGAGTAGAATCATAGGAAACTGAAGATAAAACATAACATACCTGATGGATTAGGTCTACAAATGGGAAAGGAGGCCTGGACACCTCCCCCTAAATGCCATGCGACTGTGAGGCATAGACAGGAGGAAGAAACAGGTTGTCCAAATCCTCATTATCATGTGCAGGCAAACCTCCACATGGTATGAGAGGACAATCATCAGAAACCTTCATAAAAGTAGCCAACTTCCTACAAACTAGAGCCATTACATCCTGAGCAGATAAATCTTGCTCAGATGCCATTGAAATGGCAAGCAAAGCAGTTGTAATAGTTACAGCCACTTTTGTAGATGATATATGGAATTGTGTTTTATGACAAGTGATATTGACTGGGAAAAAAAAAGAATTTTATCTCCAAAAACTATAACTTGAGCAAATAAGTGAAAACGTCAGTTGAAAAACACAAGCGAAAACACATCTGAACAGTAAGGTTACCAACTAAGAAGAGTTTAAGGGCACTAGTGATGACAGGAGTTGTGTCTCACTCCTGTTGGTGGAAGGTTGCTGCATGATCATTCACATGATTGCATGCAGATGTCTCACATGAATACATGCGAGGTTAAATGAGAGTATGAAGGCTAGTGGCGAGCGTAGGTTTGCACTTATAGAGGGCAGTATAAGTTGATAAAAACTATTTGCAAGAGGAGGTAAGATATCCTATTGTAAAATCAGTTAAGAAAGCAATATCATAGATTATAAAGTAATGTTTAAGGAATATCATTTCTAGACTATCAGACTTGCATCTTAGGTGCTGTATAACTACATTAACAAATTATTTACTGTTGCCACTAATATCTCATTGTTCATACTCATCCATTGGTTTTATTTATTTAATGTTAACACTATGTGCACAGGTGGAAGACAAAGTTGCTATCACCAAGTTCATCTTGAACATGGTAAGATAGTTGACTGAAGATTGCATTAAATTATATTGACTAAATAAAGCTTAACATTAATGTGAAAACTATACATATATTTTACTTATAGCTACAACAACAAACATTCCTACTTAACATTACAAATACCATTAAGAATAAATGAGGTTACAATATAGTTTTTGTTATTAGAATATAAAATGAAAAATATTATCCTATAATCAGTCATTAAAACCTTTAGTCATTTTGATACTTGCACATATTTTTCAGAACAATGACATAAAATCTTAAAAAAATAATTTAAAAAAGTACCTTTAGTCCTAAGGTAACTAGAGAGTGAATATTGAAAAGCTTGGAAACAGAAGTGTTGAGTTCCTTCAAACATATTACCGGTATTCCTCTACTAGCACATAGAGGTACAAGGTGCCATGACAACTGTGGAGGTTTTACAGCATTAGTGACCAACACTGCAACTAGATCATTCTTTTCTGTAGCTCTGGTAACAGCATTTACTCCAAACACTAACTCAGATCTAATACATAAAAGGAAAGCATTTATATGTAACATTTGACAGAAAGATGAAGAGTGTAATTTTCAAAATTGCAAGGTTAAAAATATTTTCCATACATACCATAGCTCTAAGCCTGACTTGTATAAGTACTTCATCAGGGCAATACTGACTCTTAATAAATTCAGACAACCAATAGTTAATGATATTTAAAGAACTCTTTCCAAAGTGGGCAAAAAATAAATGATGGGAGAGCATGTACTGGTGGCTTGGGTGGGTGGGGATGGGTGGCAACCTTTTGGCAAGAGAGCCCAAATATAACTACGAAAGAAACAGAAGAGTTGAAGCTTTTTTTTTTACTCTCTTGCATTTACTTACTACTTACAAGCATTTTCTTATTTTAGAAAAATTATTATAAAACAGTTAAAGAAAATGATTTTGCTGTTATCACTGTCTTAACGTATCTATTCCACAAACATTAAACAACATGAAGTTACTTAACACAAACATGAGAAGGGTTTTTTGTTGTTCAAATTACATTCTGCTTCATCTATGTAGAAAGATGAGCACTTGCTATACAATTTTGTAACCGTTTCCTGACAAGATGAGTTTCATAATACAATTTCCTTAATAATGTGGTTGATTTTCATTCAATGGTTAAAAATAAATCTAGGCACTATGTTAGGGTTATATTTACATACTAGTCTTTTGCAAATTTGTTTTAGAGGTGTACTAATAATTCCTATATACAAAGAAAAAATTGCAATGAAGCTGGGCACATTGTCTGATAATGCTAACAAGCCAGACAAGCACAAATTTTCAGTCATGTCTCAAAATCAGTAGCAGTTTTCAGGAGAAATATGCTGAAGACAGAGAAATCCTTGGTCCTTTTGATCACATATCTTTCAAATACCCCAATGCAGCTCCAACAAATTTTGTGTCTTAAATCTATTTTTCAAAGCTGGTGTCCACTTATAATGGAGGGTCTGTGAAAAGTTTGTCAAAATGTGTGTGGTCTAAGATTGACCTAGCAGTCAATCATTCACAGAAGTTTGTTATATTGGAAATTGCAACGTCAAACAATAAACAAGCATGTGAATGAGCCACAGGCAATTTTAGAAAACTCAGGTTAGGGTTTGGGGGCTGCCAGACTCCTCACCACTGCCTAAATAATACAAAATCGTGGCCATTAGAATGAATATGATCAGCGATGGAGGAATTAGAATGAAGTTCAGTATGCAGCCTCAAACATCATTCTTATAAATTGCAATCAAACCTCAGTATACTGACACATCACTTTATTAAGAACCTAAGCATGCACACAATTATAATAACTTAGTCATTCAAAATAGACTAATCACATGTGACAAATCAAGTCTAATAAAAGTGGATATGCAGTCACATGATTAGTATGCAAAACAATGGGTAAGAGCCAAGATTTCTCTAATTTTCAAAATGAAATTGATAGTATCCACTCTTCCAGCAGAAACACTTTCATCAAAAACTGTATATTTTACTAGGTCTTATAAACAGTGATAAGTAAAGTTAAAATATTTGTAGAAAACATAACTAAGTCTGCCAATTACTGGGGGACAAACAGGGAAATAAATCAGGATTGTTAAATGCAACAGACATCAGACTGAGTTCTAATGGACTGATTCCTTTGACAATGATCAAGAGTTGACTATCTATAACCATGCAATACAAAAAACATCTGCCAGGTAGTAGCTAAAAGCCAGTCCAAAACAAACTTATCTCGGATACAACCATAAAAGCAGAGCTTTAATAGTGTTTCAAGTACAGAGAATCACTTAACAAATGATCTGTTTCACTGTGTCATGTTCCACTTTTTTTCTTTACAGACAGTACACTACACACTTGTTGATAAACATAAAATGCACTTGATCTACTAATCTTGCTTATTCAGTAAAAAACTGCCATGACTGTAAACATTTGAAAAATGTCCTTTGATTTGGAAAATCAAAGGTCCTTTGATTCCTTTAGAATGATGAATAAAATTCACATTTTTTAAAGATCATTATTGATCATATTTACCACATAATAATTCAATTCCAAGACAAGAATGCAACAATTTACTTTACTTTTCAGAGAACATGACACAGGGTTCATACAGATCTTATAAAAGAATCTTCTAGGCCTTTTTCCAGAAATCTACTCCATTTTCCAGGTTTTCCAAATCCTACCACCTAGAGTTAACCTTCCAACTCCCTGGCATTTTTGTTCATCAAACATGCTCACCAACAAAAACTGTAACAGTCTTGAATTTTGTGAGGCATAAGATTCACAATGACCAACAGGAAACATTTACAAAACTGATTTTGATACCAGACTTTTATTTGTTTTTTTTAAATTTTTTAAGCCGATCATTTCATATGGATATTTTATTGGAATAAAAAATTTCAGGACTTTTCCAAGACCATAACTTAAAATAAGCCTTTCTCCAAAAATTCCATTACTGAAATTCTGAAAAAGTTCATTTTCCATAACTTCCTATAATTTTTAGGACTCATATAAACCCTGGTAACAAAGATTGAAAATTCAGTCATCTTTCTTGACCAGCAAAATCACCATATGTATGTAATGTATATGTATGTAATGTGACTGGTCACTTTTTAGATGATCTTCTATCTTATATTTGCCAACATAATACTGTTGATGTTTGTGAACTCAATGCAGACCACACACTTTGACAAATGAGCTTAAATCCAACAAAACACATATCATGATGTCTATGCATATAGAATCTAGTTTAATATTGAGGCAAAACTAGGTGTTCTAATAACATGATCAATTAGTTTATCTTCTTACCACAAATTTCACAAGCACATTTGTATTTTATTAATTATTACTTTTAAGTGTGTATTAAATAGTAATCACTTATTATAATATTTTACTGTAAAGATAATTTTTATTATGCTTATTTTTTTCATACATTAATATTTTCAATCCTGTAAAACCTGTTGTCTATATATATATATATATATATATATATATTTAATAGTTA